TGGGTAACAGGGCAGAGAGGGAGGAGTTAAAAAACAGGGACAGGGAGCTGGACCAAGAGACTGAGAAGAGGAAAAGTCCCGACAGGCTTCCAGAGAGAAAAAGTGGGGCATTAAAAATTAGAGACAGGGAGTTGGACAGAGAGAGATCAAGAAAGGAAAAATCTGCAGCAGGCTACCAGGCAGAGAAGGAGAGTTTAAAAATGGGGACAGCAAGACAGACAGAGAGGGAAGGAGAAAGGAAAGAAGCAACAGGTGATGCGGCAGATAGGGAGAAATGAAGAAAGAGGGACAGGGGCCAGACAAAACAAGACATGGGAAAAAAAAATATAGCGACAGGCTAGGGGGCAGAAAGGGAAGACTTAGAAAAAGAGGGAGAGGGAACAAGACAGAGTGAGATGGAGAAAGGGGAGAATACTGACAGACCGCTGGACAGAGAGTGAGAAAGTCAAAATGAGGGGCAGGAAACAGGATAAAGAGAGACGGAGGAATAAATCATCTTGCAATGTGCTACAGAGCCAAGAAGGAAGACCTTGAACAACAGGGACAGGGAGATGGACAGAGAGAGCCAGAGACACAAAAATAGTGGCTGGGAGCTGGACACAGAGAGGCGGAGAAAGAAAAAATAGCCATAGGCTACAGGGCAGAGAGCAGGAGGACCTAAAAGGTGGGGACAGGGAGCTGCTCAGAGCGAGATGGAGAAAGGAGGTACGGGGGGGGGGGGGGAGGGTGGGTATCACAGGGGCATGGCAAAGAGAGGGGGTCATGGGAGGGGCAGGGAGGGACCAGGACACCAAAGAGGGAAGACAGGGCTCTGAGGGCCCGGGACTCACTGCAGCTCTTGGTCTCAGCACTGCCAGGAGACTTTGCCAGTTCAGACACTTCCTTCTGTTGTAACTCTGGCTGCTTGGCTGTCCTCCACCTAAGAATATGTGGGTGTCCCACAGCTCTAACGAGATGAAGCTTCCTAGACATGTAGCCTCGCTCGCTTGTGCGCTATGAGGAGTAGGAAAGAGAGATAAAAAGATAAGCAGGGAGCAGAACAGATGGATCAAGAGAGAAATTGAATGAGAGCAATAAAGAAGGAGGAAGAGAGAGAAAAAGATGGGGAACAAGCCAGAGGCATTGAGGGGGGGAGAAAAGAGAGAGACAAATTAGGACAAAGCAAGGGAGAAAGACAAACCAGCGCTGGGCTGCAGGATGAGAAGAAAGGCCCGGGAGCAGGACCAAGGGTACAGCGAGCTGGGCAAGAGAATATAGTGAGAAAGGGTGGGACAGGCAGTGGTATGGAGATACACAGACAAGAAGTTGTGGGGGGAAGTGGAGGACAGAGAGAATAAGAGAAAAGGGACAGGGAGCAGGGCAGAGAGAGAGAAAGAAACGTTAGAAACAGAGAGAGGAGGGAAGTGACACGACCGAGACAGAAAGCTGGAGAAAGAAAAAATAGATAGTGATGGGTAGCAGGCCAGAGGGACAAGGAAAGACAGGAGGAAGGACAGAGGGATACAGAAAACAGCTGAGGGACAGGGAGCCCGAAAGCAGGATATTGTGAAAGACAGAGGGACGGGGAGCAGGATGCTGGGATAGAGAGCCAATGAGAGCAACAGAGAGAATGACAGAGAGGTAGAGCATGAGAAAAAACAGGGACAGAGAGGTGAAGGAATAAGTAATAGGGACAGGGAGCAGCACAAAGGGTCAGAGAGAGTAAGAGATGAACAGGAAGGAGGACAGGGATAGTGAGATACAGAACGGGGAAAAACAGCGACAGTGAGCAAGACAAAGGGACAGAGAGAGAAAGAAAAGGAAGGAAGGAGAGAGATAGGAAGACAGGAACACAGAGTGGCACATACAGGTGCAGAAAGGAAAAGAACACCAGGAACAGGGCAGAGAAATTGTGGGGAAAAAAGATACGGATGCAGATCAGGACAAAGAGATGGAAAAGAAAAAAACCAGCAATGGGCTGCAAGACAGAGATGGAGGATGAAAAAAAGGAGGGAGAGGGAGCAGGAGCAGGACAAAAGCGCAGAGAGAAAAAGAAAAGGGAGCAGGAGAACAAGAGAGAGGAAGAGAGAGCAGGACAGAAGAATAGAGAGAAAAGGAGAGGTACAGGGAAGAAAAAAATAATGACAGCAGCGTGGGAAAGGGAGGGGGCCAGGACAGGGGCAGAGAGGGACTGGGACACGCAAGAGGGGCGACAGGGCCCCGAGGGCCCTGGCCTCACCACAGCTCTCGCTGTGGTACCAGGAGGATTTGCCAGTTCAGACACTTCTTTCTGCTCCTCTTCTCCCTTCCTTTTCTGTAACTCTGGCTGCTTGGCTGTCCTCCACCTAAGAGAATACGTGTGTCGCAGCTCGTCCAAGATAAGGCTTCCTAGACATGCAGCCTCGCTCACTCGCACACTACATGGCCATACCACACTGTTGGTGAAGCACACAGACCCTGCGGTGCACGTTGGCGGTCTGACCTCCTGTGGACTACGAAGAGGGATCCTTCCTCACCCAGAGAGGCTGGCTCTCTCCTGCCCGCGGCGGGAGGCAGCTGCTGGCCGGAGGGCCTTCCATTTCGTCGTCTTTAACTTTCTCTGGCCTCTCCAGCTTCAGCTGCAGCAGCTCCTGTCCGTGGCCGGCAAGTGCTCTGCCTGTCCCTTTTCGCCCCCACGCCGTGAGGAGAGGCAGACCAGGCAGAGACCGCCCACACGAGCCTGAGGCAGGTGCAGTCAATGACATCCCCGGGGAGGAACAGACAGCCATGCCCTCAGCGCAGCCCCTGCGAAAGGAGAAGCGGTGACCACTATTACCGTCGCTCGCCCCCGGCCGCAGGCTCTCCTTCGCACCGAGGGCCAGCTTGCTGCCCTCACCGCAGGGCTTGGGGGCTGCCTGGGGCTACGGGGCAGGCGTCGGGGGAGGGGCTGGAGCTGGGGGCTGCCGCGCGGGGCGAGCGGGGCCGGGGAGGCTCCGGGGGAGCTCCGGCGAGCTGGGGAGGCGCCCGGCGGCTGCGGCCGGGGGGTGCCCGCCTCCGTCCCCTCTTCCCCGCTGTCCGCTCCCGGGGAACTGCCCGGCGCTGCCCCGGCCCGGCTCGCCCCCCCAGCACCGGGGCCCGCCC